ACAAAACTTTTTCTTTTTCTTTTTTCAGTCCAAATCATGGAAGTTAGACTGGCAGTATTGGCCCCTGATCTTCCCCTCTTCTCTCTTCTTTCTAGCAGACCCTGACAAGTGTGTGTGTGTGTGTGTGTTTGGGGTGGGGGGGGGATTGATTTATCTAAAGGAGTTCCTCTGACTACTCAATGGAGAAGAGCGGATGGAACAAGGATGGGTGCATGGAGCCCAGGGGGAGATGCTGGGGGCTCAGACCAGGGAGAGTAGTAGAGGGGAGTAGTGGTTCTGGGTGGGATCTGAAGGCAGAGCTGGCAGGATTGCTGGTGGGTTACATGTGAGGATTGACAGAGAGGAATCAAGGAGTAATTGGAGGGTGGAGTTGTCACTGGCTTCTCATCTTACCTTCTCCATTTTTGCTCAAATATCCCTCTTTATTCCCCTTTTGTAGCCCTTCTTGTCATTGTTAAGGGCCGTTGAGTCAGTTCCAGCTCATAAAGACCATATAGGGTTTTTGAGGAGCAGCTTGAGGGTTTGAACCACCAACTTTTCAGTTAGCAGTACAGTGCTTATCATACAGTGTCACACCAGCATTCCAGGACATATATTGTTGTTGTTGTTAAATGCTGTTGAGTCAGTTCCAACTCATAGAGACCCTGTAAAGTTTTCCTAAGAGCAGTTGGTGGGTTTGAACTGCCATCCTTGTGATTCACAGTCCAGTGCTGATCGTATAACACCATGCAAGGACTCCAAGACATGAAGTAGATGTTAATAAATATTGTTGAGTGTCATGAATGAATGATACATGGATGAAGGTAGTTCTATTTTGATTTAGGACATCCCAGAAAGCTACCATGGGGGTGGTTAGTTTACATCTGGTAGCATAGTGGTTACAAGTTGGGCTGCTAACCTTAAGGTCAGCAGTTAGAAACTACTAGGGGTTCCATGGGAGAAAGATGAGGCTTTCTGCTCCTGTAAAGATTTATAGCTTTGGAAACCCTATGCAGGGTCGCTGAGTCGGAACTGCCTCCACGGCACACTGCCACACCACGCCAGTTTATATCAATTATCCACCGTAACTTCTCTATGAGACCTCAGGCAAGTTGTCGCACCACCCCAACCTCAGTTTACCCTACTGCACATTGGTCTCAGTGACTTCCCAGCATTGACAGCCAACCAAGGGTGATTTTTATGTGAACTCTGGATCTGGAGGACAAGGCCCAGAGCCCCTCATGGGACAGGGGTGAGGGTGTAATGGCTGGCCCTGCATCAATAAGCCCTGTTGAGCGCCTTTGCCAAAAGTGCATATATAAATAGCAGGTGGTTCAATTATTATCCTTTCCTAATCCAAGCAGGTTCCTAATCCTGGACAGGTTTGTGTGTGTATGTGTGAACGCAAAGAACAGTGAACCGGCCGAGCCTTCTAGAAGCCAAAGCCAAGATCTCCTTCATCTCTGACCTTCTTCAGTAGCCCCTGGATGGTCTCCTTCATGGTGCGAGCCAGGTCCTGCCTGAAAAGTCAGAGACTCTTCCCTGCCCCCTACCTCACATGCTAAGGACCTTCCTTCCAGGTTCCCCTCCTTCCGATCCACTCTTCCCCCACAGTCAGAGTGGCCTTTTCGACACATAAATCAGACCATGGCACTCCCCAGCTTAAAGTCTTCCAGTGGTTTTCTGTCTGCAGAATAAATGCAGGCTCCTTACCAAGGCTTACAGCCCTGTTCAGCCCTCTTTACCCTCCACTGATTCTCCTCCAGCCAAGCTGGCCTGTTGTGGTTGTTGCTAATTGCTGTCAAGTTGATTCTGACTCATGACAACCCCCCATGTGCAGAACAGAACTGTTCTGTAGGAAGCAGATCACCAGGCTTCTATCTCCTGAGGTGCCTCTGGGTGAACTTGAACAGCCAACCTTCCAGCTCAAAGTTGAGCGTTGAACCATTTGCATTACAGGCATTTCTGGAATCCCTTTCTCTCCCTTTATGTGACTTAGCCTAGAGCTTCTATCTAGAGAGACCTGGCCTGACCACCATTATCTAAATTAGCTCACCTCCCTCACTCTCTCTGAGCAATCTTCTGTTGTTCATTAATTATTTGCACTTGTCTACTTATCTGTCTCCCCTATTAGAATGTAAATTTCTCTTGAACAGGGGACCTGGTGTAGGCCACTGTTGTATCTCCGACACCCAGAGAAATAGGAATTCCTTTGCACTTCAAACACTGCCCAGAACCCTAAGAGTTCCCAAGAACTGTTGTCAAACACTTGATTTATTTACCAAAATACTGATGTGGCACATGGTGCGTACTGAGCACTGTTTTAAGTGGTTTGCAAATATTAATGTCTGATCCTCACAACAGCCTTTTTGGGTAGATACTCATTTCAGATGAGGAAAACGATGACACAGATAAGCTGTTTTTCCAAGGTTGTGGCAGGATTTGAACCCAGGGAGTCTGACCCATGCTTTCAGTGGCTGTTACCGTAGTGAGGTTGGCCCAGGATCGGGCAGTGTTTCGTTCTGCTGTGCATAAGGTCGCTATGGATCGGTTCTGACTCGATGGCACCTAACAACAACAACAACAACCCTGTCTTAGTAGAAGAGAATCCTGGTGTGGCGTTGCAGGATAATGCACTGGACCACAAGGTTGGTTTGAATCACAAGGTTCGTGGTTCAAACTCACCAGCCACTCCTCGGAAACCCTATACAGGGTCACTATGAGTTGGAACCACTGGAGGGCACTTAATAATGGCACGCATTTGAATCAGGAATTCAAGCCTTGCTTGGACTACAGGCCTTTGTTGAGTGTTCTGATGTAAGTCTGCTTACTCCATGAGCTTCCACTTGCTTCTTATTTCCAGGGCTGACCCCCATCCCCCTTTCATTCACCAGTCTAAACTGCCTGTTGTTGCAGCTGCTGCTGTTGTTGTTGTTAGTTGTCCTGGATGATGTCACTTCTAACTCTTAGAAACCCATATATAAGGCTGCTTTTGCCAGATTGCCAAGCCTGTCTTCTGATGCTTCGACGTTTCTGCCTGAAGTCAAGGTTTGTTCCTCTTAACAGCCTAGTGAAGGAATATTGGTTATCTGTGAACTATTTCCATCTCATGAGTCTCCCATATAGCAGAGGGTCCTGGACGCCTTGGCTCCCATTGTCCAGAGCCTTCTTTAGTAAGGTAGCCACAGCATACCCAGTCTCCTCACTGACCTGACTCCTACAGGGAACATAGAGTTCCCTCCAGAAAAAAAAAGAGTGCAGGGGTTTATGTATTTATTTGTTTGTTTGTTTATTTATTTTCACAAGGCTCTGTTCTCTGCTTCTTGGCCTCATCCTCTGCTCCTCATCTTATGAATTGCCTGTCATCCTCCCTGAACTGGAACCCAGGCCTTCAAGTTTCCCCCAATACACACCCTTGCTCAGGCCTTCCCCACTCTAAGAACCCAGATACCTGGCCTGAGAACCCACCTCCGCTGGGAGACCCCGGCCCCTTTCCCTCACCGGCTTGCCACAGCCCCCGTTCTCGATCCACTCCTCCCAGCGCTTCTTTCCCAAGCGGTACTGAAGTCCTTCCTACACACACGCTATTTTTGTATCATCCCTCTCTCCTTCCTCTCCCCCTTCCCCCACATCCACTTACTTCCTGCTTTTCCTGCACCTCGGCCAGGCTCCGAAAGAATCGCGCCCCTCTCGCCGGCGCCCCCTACCCCCAAGAGGGGCCCTTCAGCTTAGGGACACAAGGGCAGGGCCATTTGGTGAGGGGCAAAAGCGGCGCCTTCCTCGCCCCTACACACACACACACACCACACACACACACACGCCTTTGCCGCCCCCAGCCTCCCGCCAGTGGGAGCAGGGACTAACCAGGAACTGACCGCTGCCCGAGACTGGAGACGAGGGTAGAACTGCTGCAACTTCCCCAGTCCACCTTAAAAGGACGTCGTTGCCAGCTCGCGGCGCTGACCTTAGAAAAACAAGTTTGCGCAAAGTGGAGCGGGGGGCCCAGCCTCTGGGCAGCCCCCGGCGGCGCGTCCACAAGCTTAACAGCCCGCGTTGGCAGCGGCGCAGGTCCGAGCTCGGCAGTGAGTGCAGGCGACAGGGGGACCGGGCTAGTTTGGGACCGGGGAGCGGGGGGTTGGTTGAGCCGCCAGGGCTTCCGAATTGGTACAGTATCGGGGCCACAGGCTCGTGGAGTCCAAGAGGAAAGCGCGATTGTCCAGGGCGCGCGAGGTCGTCTTCCCGGGCTGCAGCCGCCGACTGGGCGGGGGTGCTTCTCTAGCCCCAGCGCGTAGCCCATTGCGCTTTGCGCGGCCCGCGCTCGTTCCCCCCCTCCCCCCCTAACCGAGCCCCGCAACCTTCTCCGGCGGGAAGAGGGAGGCGAAAAGGGAAGGAGGAGGCTGCCGGGCTGCTGGGGGACCGGATCAGCGGCCAGGACTGCGGGCTGGAGCCAGGCGAGCCGCTGGCGCCGCGGAGGAGTCCGGGAGGGGCAACTGGGCTACAGCGGGGGCGGCTCCGGGCGGCTCGGGCGGCCGTGCCTGCCCCTCGCCCCAGCCCGCCAGTCCCTCCTCTCTCCCGCGCTGTCTGTCTCGGTCTGCGCGCTGCTCGCTCACTCCTTTCTCTCTCTCGCTCGCCTGTTCGCTCGCTCGCTCTCCCTCTCTCTCCCTCTTTTTCTCTGCCTCTCTGTGTCTCACTCTGGCTCTCTGCCTGGCTCCCTTGGGTCTGTTTCTCTCTCCCGCCGCCTCTCTCTGCCCGTCTTTGGCTTTATTTCTCGCGCGCTTGGGGTCTCCCCTTTCCGTCTCTCAATCTCTCCAGAGTGGGGGAGGCAGTCTCCGAAAATCGCTGCGGGGACGACCGCTCCTCACCGCCCCGGGCGCCAGTACAAGGAGGGGGCAGCCCGGCCGGGAAGGGAGGCGGGGGGCGGGGGGTAGGAGGGGAGCCTTAGTCATTTCCCCGCTCCAGCTTGCGCCCGCCTGAGCGCGCACTCACGGCCGCTTTCCCTCCTCGCTCCGCAGCCGCGGCCCATGGAGCCCGTCGGCCCGGCCCCCGGCCGCCTCGGGCCGCTGCTCTGCCTGCTGCTTGCTGCGTCCTGCGCCTGGCCAGGTAAGCACCCCTTTGCCTCTTACCCCCACCCCAAACTGTGGGCCCAGGCTTTTCAGCCCACCACTTGGAGCTACTCGGCTTATGTTGAGCGGTAATAGGGGAAGAGATGCCTGTCACCTAGGGTACAGATGCGGAAACTGAGGCCCAGAGATGGCCAGCCACTTGCCCAAGGTCACACAATCAAGGATAGAACCCAGGTCCCTACTTCACAGTCTGTCTCTCTGGACCCAGACCATGCCGGCGCTGGACTGGACGCTGTGGCAGACCCTCTGAGTTGGCTCAGTTAGCCCCTACCCCATAGGGGAGGCAGGCTGCCTGTATTTAATGAGCAGGGCGTCCAGCTCCTCTGGCCCTGGACTTTTGTTTTCCACATGTTTGATTTTGGGGTCTGAGACAGGGGACTGGGGGCAGAGGTCATCCTGGCTACCTGGGATGAAAACAGAAACCGAACAGAAGCAGGGGGTTAGTATGAAGCAAGAGGGTTCTCACCGTCTGGTAAGCGAGTAAACAGCCTTAGTGTGTGCGTACGAGAGAGGGAGGACAGGAGGCCACGATAACCCTGGGGTGAGCTGTTGTGAACAACAGATCCTAATGTGAAAACACAGTGGCTGGCCCCTCTCGTTGCCCAAAGCCTCAAGCTGCCTGGTTGCCTCCTTGCCTTCCGTTCCTACCACTCTCCTTCCCGTAGGTCGGCTCCCTCCTTCTGCCTTCTCCAGCTCCCCGGTAGCTCCCAGCAGCTCAGGTGCTCTGGGAGGCTGTTACCTGTGGCTCTGAGCTTGTCTTTTTGTTGGCCTACATCAAACACCTGGCTGTCATCAGCAGGCAGACTGTGAAGGCTACTGTGTGTGTTCGCCAAGGAGTGAGGTCACCATTTAGGGGCCCAGCTTCTTAAAGGGGTTTTACAAAATCATGAGTCTCCTGGGAGGGTGGGAGTAGTGGGGTCAGAGAAGTGGTGTGGAAGAGGGTGGGAGCAGAACGGGGATGTTGTTGTTTGACCTCCTGAGCCTGTGTGTCAGCAGAGAGTTCTCTGTACCTTCCACTCTTGAGGACGGAGGGAGGGATGAGCTCAGTATCTACACACACACACAAACACACACACACACACACCTTTCCTTTTGCATTTGCCTGGAGACTGGTAACCATCTTATAGCAGCGGAAAAAGGGAGAATTGGAAAAGAGTGGGTGGAGGGAGAAGTAGGGGTAGACAGCAGCTTCTCTCTGCCCGGTTTCCCCTGAGCCCTGGGAATCCACATGGGCACCCCACCACCACCACCTCATTCAGTTCCAGTGGGCCCCTAACTGGGAGGAAGGAAGTACTGATATATTTTATGTGTCTGTGACTGGCATCTCCAATCTGCTCCTTTTTGAGACCCTTGCAAAAGTCCAAAGTTCTGACCCCACCATCCTTCCTGGCTTCCTCTCACCAGTGCTTGATTTTCCTGCATTGGGGAACTGGGCCCAAGTTCATTTCTACGTATCTATTTCAGACTCTTCTCGGACTCGGACTCTGGTTTAGTTCTTGACAAATGAACGGTGGTGCTGATTAACAAGTGTTCATATGGGCAGCCTGCCTTTGCCCGGGTGCTGGCTGGGAGCATCAATACCCTTCTGGTGGCAAATCTCCCCCTTTTGCCTATAAAAACAATCTATAAAATGGTAAAGATTAGGCCATAAAACTTCCGTTCCAATCCATTCAGCATCAATAGCCTGAAAAAGTGGAAGCAGCAGAGGGGCTGATATTAACTTTGAAATAAATCAATTTTGGGAGGGTAGAATGGATTTCATGGTTGAGGGTGGTGGGGAGGGGATGGGATATCACTGTCATAGCTCAAGCCTCTCAGCACCCTTCAACCTGATTTTTGGGGGTCCTGTGGTCACCCTCTAGGCCTTGCCATGAAATTCACCTGGTTTGGCTAATGGCTTGGACTTCTGGCCCCTCCTTCAGTGGCTCCATACATGGAATTTATGACAAAGCAGGAGAGGCAGGACAGAAGGGCAGGAAGGTAGAAGAAGGCAGTTGTCCAATTTTCTAAGAAAATGGATTTGTTCGAGTGAGAAGCTCAAATGTCAGATTTAGCAAAGGCAGCTTTGGATTGAATGACTACTAGTGTCTCAGGCAGAACTGTCTGCCTGGGAGGTGTCACGTGATGGCTGCAGCTTCACATGATCACTGTGTGAAAGGGGGCTGGTCATGTGGATTATCTTGGTTGGGGGAGGCAGGGGAAGAAGTTTCTAAAGATTGCTTTCAGCACAAAGGCTGCCAAAGGTAAATTCTAAAAAGATACTAATGAAGTCGGCAACCTGTGTTCTTGGAGCCAACGTGAGGCCTGAGTTCTAAAGCAGCTGTGCTGAGGGAGATACTGAAACTAGGTGGAGGAGACTGGGGGACAAGGGACCACAACTTGGGGACATTTGGGTAGCCTGGTTCTGCAACAGCAGGCTACATCTAGGGCTTTAGCCAACTCACTGAATTTGTGGGGGTTCAGCCTGCCTAGCCTCTAGGTTTGAGAGCTCAGGATCATTCTTCTTCTCAGCAGACCTCGGAACAATTCTCATTCACTTCTTTCCTCTGGCCTGGAAGAGACCAGGCCATGCTGGGGTAAAACAGGGCCCTCTGGTGAACCTGTGACGTTTTATGTATTAGGGTAACATGCTGGTGGTATTCTGTACTTTCCTAAGTGATAGTTAATCTCACTTCTTCTTTCATAAGAGAAGGAAGATGGGGACTTTGGCCCCAATGTTCTTGGGCTGTTGGAAGATCCTTTATAGCTGTGGTATTCTCTGGGTACTTTCTGACCATTAGCTATTCCTTTAGCAACACCGCAGAGACTCATGGTGTGATTCATTCCTTTTCATGCAGTCATTCAGCATGCATGAAGTCCTGAAGTGAACCATGTGTTGAGATAAGGGAGGAGAACCAACATTCATTGAATGCCAACCACGTCAGGCTGGGTGTTGAATGCTTTATCTTCATAAGTTCGTTAGATTAGCAAAGCGAAACTTGAGGGAGCTGTTATTCCCATTGTACAGATGAGGAAAATTGAGTCCAAAACTGATTACTGGTACCAGTTGCCATTGAGTCAACTCCAGCTCATGACAATTTCATGTGTGTCAGAGTAGAACTATGTTCCATAGGGTTTTTTCCCTTTTTTTTTTAATCATTTATTTTATGTTTGTTGTTGAGAATACTCACAGCAAAACATACACCAATTCAACAAGTAACTCTACATGTACAGTTCTGTGACACTGATGATGTCCTTTGAGTGGTACAGCCATTTTTACCCTCCTTTTCTGAATTGTTCCTCTCCCATTAATATAAACTCACTGGCCCCTATGTTTCCTATCTAATCTTTCCAGTTGCTGTTGTCAGTTTGATCCCATCTTGTTCTTAAAAGAGTACAGTGTTCAAGGCAGACATGCTCTGCTAGTTAAGTTAAAGGATTGCTTGGTTTTAAAAAGACCTCAGGGAACATTTTTGTTTTAAAGATTATCTTAGGGCAATAGTTTCAATCCATTTTTCATAGCTCCAGAAAGTCAGCAGTCCATAAGAATTTAAAATTCTGTTCTTCAACTCCTCCCTTTTGATCAGGATTCTTGTATATAATCTTTGACCACAGAATGTTGAATAATGATAGTCAGGTGCGATGGCAAAAAGGAAGTGGTTGTTCGTGGAGGCAATTAGCCAGACATTCCATTTCCTCCTGTTCTGACTCCTGCTTCCACTGTTGCTCCAAACAAATACAGACCAATTCTTGTACCTTGGATGGTCACTTGCAAGCTTTCAAGACCCCAGGCCCTATTCAAGGAACGAAGAGGTAGAACAGAAGCACTAAATATGTTATTAGGGCAGTAACTGGCAAGTCCCATGAAGCCATGATCCTAAATCTCCAAACATGTAAGGTGTTTGGCCCATAATATTTTCAATAGCTGTTTTTCTGTTTGTTTGTTTGTTTGTTTTGTTTTTTTTAAAAGAAATAGACCACCAGACCTTCTTTCTAAGGTGCCTGTATGCAGACTTGATCCTCTAACCTTCGCTGAATAAGTTAACCATTTGTACCACCTAGAGTATCTCAACACTAATCCAAGTCTAAAAGTTGTCAAAGGAGCTCTGGTAGCATAGCAGTTACAAATCGGGCTGCTAACCTCAAGGTCAGCACTTCGAAACTACCGTGGGAGAAAGATGAGGCTTTCTGCTCCTGTAAAGATTTGCAGCCTCGGAAACCCTGTGCAGGCTCACTATGAGTCAGAATTGACTCCACAGTACTTAACAACAAAAGTTGTCAAGGATATGTGGTAAGGGGCCTGAGTTTTTAATCTATACCTCCCTGGGTGATCTGTGAAGCAGGAGAAGTTTAATGTCTTAATCAGGATCACTGAGATCTAGCAGGAGAGTTTGAAGGCCCAGGACAGGAGGAGCTCCTCCTGGCCTTAGATGGAGATTTCTAGAAGGCTTCCTTCTGAGGCAGAGTCATCGCATTTCTCTGATGGAAATGCTGACAGCCCTTTGGCCCTCACAGATGACAATGCCTGAGGGGTGACGTGGCACCATAAGAGCCCCCTCATCTGGGCTGCTGAGCTCTGGAGCCCCCAGAACTGGAACATTCCTCCTTGCATCTTCCTGGTGCCCTTTGCGACAGATGGAGAGGGGGTGTGTGAGAGGAAGGGAGTCTAAAAGTGTTACACCGATCCCACATGCACTCACTCGCTACCTCCAATGGCTTCCTGCGACAGGTTATTTTCTTATTTGTCGTCTTGGACTGACGGAGGTTTTTCTTCTCTCTTTTTAAATGTGCTCAGATTTCTGGCTTGTCAACACAGCTCAGATCATGTTACTCCCCTATTCAAAACTGTTGAGTGGGTCTAAGTTTTCTTTTCTTTCTTTTTTTTTTTAAAGATAACTTTAGCAGTAGGTCTGGGCTGTCTCCCTCACTGGCTTTATTTCTAACCACATGTTTTCCAACTGGCTTGTTGAGATGCTGCAAGATAGCAAGGCTTCCTCC